AAAATTTTATCAAGGTTGTGGTTACCACTGTTACTTGTGCATTCTCAATTAATACACTTTTTCCTTCCACTCAATTTTCCACCAGTGTGCACCAGTGAACAGCCAAGTGAGCAACAATGAAATACTGTGGCTTATTCTCCTTGTGAAGGTGTCAATAACCACTTGCTGTCCATGATATAACAATTTCATATGAATGTTCAACATTTTATTGGTCACATGTATTGTTATATTGCAAAAAAAAAAAAAAAAAGAATTTTGAGATTTCATTAGATGTAAGTTGTCATCAAATTCACAGAAAAAACCCCCATTTGAATTATATTTCTTTGTGTATAATACAGCTATATGTCATTTTGACTTTTCAAAGTGAAACGGAAAGAAAATTACCTTTTCAATGACTATTCAATTTTTTGAGATGCATTTGTATAAAATATAAGTTGGGAAAACTAAACTTCTAAATATAAGCTTTAAGTTTTTTTTATTTTTTTTTTTACAAATGAAGGTTTAGTCCAAGTGTTAACAGCACTCCAAACAAGAAAATTACCAATTAATAATTCTAGTTTTCACCATCAGCAATGGTATTGTGACAACTGATTTGCTACTTTTTGAAGCAAATTGTTAGTGTTGCAGTAAAGAAGGGGCTGAACCAAAAAGCAAAACTTTCAGTTTGCCTCTCTGTCTACATTACATGTAGACATGAGACACGGATCATGACTGAAAAAATGAGATCCTGAGCTGCGTCCAGAGGTGAGCAGGACTCAGCCTTACAGAGATCGGAGCGTCATCATTAGGGAGAGCTCAAAGTGGAGCCAGTGCTCCTCCGCATCAAAAGGAGTTATTTTAGGTGGTTCATGCATCTGATTATGATGTCCCCTGGGCCCCTCCCTTTGGAGAGTTTCCGTGCATGTCCCACTAGGAGGAGACTCTGGGTAAGACCCATAACATACTGGAGGGACAACATACTCTGTCTGGCCTTGGAAAGCCTCGGGATCCCTCAGACAGACAGAAAGGGTCAGGGATGTCTGGGATTCCATCCTGGACCTATTGTCCTAACAACCATATGAAGGACAGAACAATGGATGTTGACGATGAGAACCTCTTTTCAATTCTTTGCAACTTTATATAAAAAAGTTGCTCTTTAAACTGTGGGAATACTTTCTCATATAGCCATTTAGATAAACATCTTAACCAATCTATAATGGACAATTCTGGTAAAAGTTAACAAAACAAAAAGGATTTTGTTAGATTAATCATCAAGAGTGGTTAAAGCCTTAAAGTGGCCCATTGCCTCCTTTAGGAATTAGTTACACCTAAAATTTATCTCTTAGTAATGTCAAAACACTATTTTAAATGAGTGGCTATGACCAGAAAACAGTACTTTACAGTGTAGTGTCACATAAGACCACCATTATCCATTCACTGTATAATCATCTGGTTGTTTAAGTATTTTTACAGGACAAAGGAGCAGCTGCACTGCTTCACTTTAAGACTGCAGAGTACACTCAGAGTGCCAGGATTGCACTCAGCCTCAGTCTCAGCACACATCTTCTGCACCGTTTAATACGACTTCCCAGCTCGATTTATTGTGATGGCTTTTGAGGCAAAGAGGTATAATATGACAAAAACATGGCCCCATAACCTCAGGATGTTCAACGGTGTTTTGAGGTGGTAAGACCCATTTAGCCGGAGGATTGGCAAAGATATTGCTTTCCTCCCATCTCATGTACAGATTTTCAATAAAATAGAGCACTAAATCAGGCTTAGGTTTAAACTTGTTTTTTTTTTTTTTTGTTACTGTACTTTACTGGCCTCAACGTTGTAGACAGAACACATCCCCCTTTCTGTACATTTGTGTTCTAGCTACCTGAAGGGAACACTCTACCAGAATACATATATTTATATATATATATTTGTGAATTACAGTAATGTTTAAAAAATGTATTTATTTTAAATTCAATAAAACATTTTCTTAGACATTTTTTGAAAATGTGCATACACAGCCAGTTTTTGATATTACCAGATTACATTAGATTATATTACTATACGTTTGCTGTCCAGCGCTGTAAGTAAACAGCAGAATTCAGATTTTCTAAAGTGGGGTTCAGTAAAGTATTTGTTGATAGTCAGTATCTTATGTAAAACAGACATGACTGGAACTTGTGGGAACACAGAGGTTTACTGGCAGGACGACAGCTAACAGCTAGTCAGAGAGCTGTTACCCATGAAGCACACATAATCAGGTTTTTACATGTCTTCATTTCAAAATTCAATACTTTTACACGTTTACAGATTTCTCCAAATCTGTGCACTATTAAAGAAAACATTTTTACAAAGCTGAATTATATGTTTTGAAATCTGCTCAAGACCTATAAATAAAACAATACATGATTTGAATTTATAACTTACCAGGCAATATAAACTAATGCTCATTATTTGTTAATTCTTTTAAATGTATCTAAAAGATTATTTTGTAATCTAATGTGTCTAATACACTGTTCTCAAACCGCAGTCTTCAAGGGCCAGTGTCCTGCAAATTTTAGATGTCTCTGCACCCCTGGCTCCAATATTAGCTCACTAGCAGAGCTCTAGAAAACTTAACTGCATGCTTGTGAGGCAGTTTTGCTATTTTATTCTTGCATATATAACAAGAGACACATCTAAACTGTAAAAGTCGCAGGACACTGGCCCTCAAAGATTGGAGTTTGAGATCATTGGTCCAACTTAAATTTCACAATATTTGTGTTTGAATAGTAAAATTATTCGGCTCTTTTTGAGGAGTCAAGAAAATGGAAGTTGTTTATTTTCACTTTAAATGAAACTCTACAACACAGCATGTACTGTGGGATGCATTGATGGAATGTGAATGTCAGCGGTCTCTTTATTTACTCTTCATATAAAACCATGGGCAGTAATTAACAGCAGGTATCCTCCCTATCCAGAGGGTAATTGACCATTTCAAAGCACCTTCATAACCAAAGAGTGTGTATGCCTATGCCATAAAACAAGCCAAGAAACCGAAACTGAGGGGAAAGGCGGCTGTGAGTGTATTAAAATGAAGACCTTTATATTCCACACCTCCCACATCCCCCACCCCTCCGTTCTTTACTCCCAGAAAGGATAAGGGTCAGCAGCAATGGGCTCAGTTGTCAAAACGCTCCAGGTTTCTTTATGAGGTCATTAACATTCAAGCATACTCATTATGAGTAAGTGTGGTTAGATGGATTAAGCACAGACTTTGTGCCACCATGAAAATTTTCATTCTAAAAATTACATATATGAGAAGACTATTTTTTTTTTAAGTCTTCAGAGAGAAAATTAGTTTTCTCTTCATGGAGTCAGAAACAGCTTTGGACACTGATTATCTGCGAACATAATTTTTTTGAGCTGTTTTATTTGTTATGAAAGTTTGTTTTAGAGTGTTGTTTCACTACATAAATATGTTAATTGTATTTTTTTTGTTTTACAAGAACCACCATATAAATGATATAACTTAAATTTTGACACTATAATGAATAGTTTCAAAACATTTTCATCATGACATAATTTTGCATAGCTGTTAGTATCAATTTATTAGTCAAGAGAAGGGAACAAAGTCTTCCACATCACAATGAAGACAGTTGTCAATCTATGCAGATAAACTGATATCGGACATTTATCGAAAACGTTTTTAAAAGTCAAGACAGAATCTATTCAGTAAGGCTGCCAATAGGCTAACAGCAATTTCCCTCTAAAACGGTCTTTATACAATTCTTAAAAAGAAAAAAAAAACACACACAAAAGTGCCTGACCATCTTCTGTGCTGGTGTAAAAAATATATCTTATCTCTTTCCATGAAAATGAACAGGAGGTTTTCTACTGTAAATTAGCATTTTTAATGATGAAATTATGAACAGTTTCAGAACTAAATCTGACAGAAAATCTGTGTAGAATATACATCCGCAAAATCTGACTTTCTGTTCACACCACGTGTAGCAAAGGTCAGAGCTCAGCTCCAGTTACAGGGTCGAAATCGGAGTGGGATCTGTCCTGTTCACAGGAGAGGGAACAGGACAGATCCTGCAGAAACGTTTCCAAGGCAGAGCAGGCAAATAACTCCAAGGTTGAATGATCATTTCCTTGCTCTCAGGCAGCAAATGTGCCTTCAATAATGTTATTGTTTTATAATGCTGTCAAGATTCACTATCTTTGGCCAATGTTTTCTTTTCTTGTATGGGGTTTTAATTGTTGTTTGAAGAGAAATTAAAAAATTTTTTTTTTACTGTTTTGTTTTTTCCTGCTTTTATTTGAACGCGGTGACCGATTGTGTATGTGATGCAGTATTTATTTTTGTCTTTATAAGATAAATCACTGTATATTATACCTAAACATTGTTCAGGCAGGGCTTAAGTTCTCATAAAACAGCCATTTTTGTTTCTGTCTCCTGATAAGTCAAAAAGTCACATCAGATCATCTGTACGACAGAAATGATTTAATAACAGAAAAATGTAAATTATTTATTTTTTCCACCCGACTGAAACAAAACCCAAGAAAAACATCTGGAATGCGACAAAGATAAAGAACAATCAGACCAAGGAGAAGCCAGGAGTCTGCACTTCATGGTCTTTATATTTCACAAGAAGAACATAAAGTTAATGAGATGCTAATTACAGTGAGTTAATTGGTCTGTATGTTCCCTAATTGATTTTAGTTGATTAGGGTTCGTGTATTCGGTGCTAATTGTTACCTCTATGGTTGTGTCTCTTAATTAGCATTAATAGGTGTTACCAGTTGTGTTCCAACATCTAATTTCACTTTTAACAACAACAACTGCATGGATTTAGACTAAAGGTTCCTTCACATTTAAAGCTCCTCTGAGGATATGAGGTTAATGTTAATTGCCATATTAATTAATGTGTTAATTGCTCGTAGAATCTTTTTTTTTTTCCTAACAACACTTTTGTTCTGTGGTGATATGACTGGACTGTTTGCTTTGAAATATTTCAGGTTTATTCAGAGAAATGTCTTAAGATAAAAGTCTTTTCAGTCTTTTTATACACTTTTATATCAGGGTACTTCCTTTAAAAAGGGATTGGTGGCTAACAAAAACACAGCTTTGTGAACGTTCTTAAATTGTGCAGAGTAAAATGATTCACAAGGATCTGCTTCAAATTCAACTTAAATGAACACACAAAACCTTATCCAAACATTAGCTTACACTTCTAGTTGTATCAATATTGCCTTCCTCCTGAAGCAGTTGCTCAAATCTGACAACAATGAGTGAACAGCACAGAGATCTGCGGATAAAGCAACATTTTTTATATTAAAGTTAATCTGTAAAGTTACAAGGCAAAAATTTGTTTATTCACGTGTGCTTTAAACTAAAGTTTGATTTCATAACAAAAAAATTGTTTACTTATTAATATTTAAACCTAAGACACGATAAATGAACCAACTTGTGAAACTTGTTTGGATGTGTAGCACAGAAGGATACAGCAGTTTTGTTCAGTTGTCAGTTCGTCGTCTTTTGGACAGTCGAAGCCTCTCGCTGTTGAGAAAATGTTCGATCTTAGAGATCTGTGTTCTGAAAGCAGACTGCTGGGTTTCCCTCTCCTGGGAACAGGACAGATCCCACTCCGACTCCGACCCTGCAACTGGGGCTGAGCTCTGAGCTTTGCTACACCTGGTATGAAGAGAAATTCACTTACACTAAACACATTATAGAAAATTTGAGAAAATATGTATCTATAGGATACATTGAACTATATTTATTTACAGAGCTTTGAAATAGAATTCCTTCATCTTGAGTTTTTCACATTTGCCCCTTTCCCTTCACATATTTTAATGTGCTGCACAGCAACACGGAGTGGTGAATAATTGTAAAGTGGAATTAAAATGATGCAAGGCTGTTACTGTTATACATCTAAATAGTTAAAATAATTCACATTTGGATAAAAATAACTCAGAATCTTTCACAAACATACTTACTCCAGGTTGGTCTGCAGTGAACCTTTGCTGCTTGTATTAGAGGAGAGAGTGAGTGGAAAAGAACTGATGGGCAAAGAAAGTGTCTTGGCCTGTGAAAAAGAAGACAACAAAACAAACCATAAATCAAACACTTTTACCTTTTGGCATCTTATCCTCAAATCCTGTCTGTAAAAAGATGTGGTAGTTAGAGGCTTGATTCATTCTCAGAGGAAATGGAACACTAAATGAAACATAGATGTGAATCAAGTATCAAGCAGCAGCAAATGACAAGTAAAAGAATCCAACAGAGAGAGCAGCCAGACTCAGACTGAACTCTGGTTGATGCTCCCAGCGTTTCAAGTATGCATGTAAAAAAGAAGAGTTTGCTTGTCACTGTTATTTATTAAACTTTTTTTTTCTCCAGTGCTGTATTGTCTAGCAGCGCCTGGATTTGATCAAATCCAGAATGACAGAGCAGAGTTGGTGACAAAAGAGAACGACGGCGAAACAGAGGAGAACAACGAGAGGGTGGAAAGTGAGTGAGAGACAAATGATGAAGTGAGAGAAGAAGAGGGAAAGTGCAACAGATAAAGATGGAGTGAGTGAGAAAGAAGGGGTACCCGAGGATCATTAGCTAGGTTTTCTTCCACACGTCATTCGTTCTGTCTGTCTGGCTGTTTGAGAATGTCTGTGAGGTCATTTAAGTTCTTTCACTCAACACCTGACTCAGCAGGGTCCCCCAAAAAGAAACTTTGTCTGAGCATTTCATCTGGCCTGGGCATATACACAAATTTGCTCCTATATTTAAAGATTGTGAAAAGAAATGTCAAAAAGCCATTTTTTGTGTCAGTGGAAAGCTCAGAGTGGAAGAACGAGAAGTACCCTTAAGGCACTTTGCATATTTCTAGTTCATATATTCTCCTCTGAGGCTTTTATGTAAAAACGTTGCACATTCCTTTCCTGTTCAACATCAAATTGATGTCCTTCCCTCGGACAAGTACTTCTATAGCTTAAAATGAAACATTGCAATGATGATTTATAATACACAGAATATACTATAATTTGTTTTGTTGTTTTAATATCAAAAGGCTTCAATAAAGAAGCACTGGGTGGAAAACTAAGTCCATCCAACTCGTCAGCAGCTTCTTGGATCATTTATTGCCGTTATATCTCCCAATCATTCAGTCTTTTTCTGAATGACTTTGTCAGTCCTCCACTCTTCACAGTGTTGTTTTGGTTTACTAGTGTTAGCAAGCACTAATATCTACACCAGAAACTTTATCACTTAACAAGAAAATACTCAAAGAATCTTAAGCTTCTTCCTTGGCATTGTCATAACATACTCATATGGTTTGTTTTGGAGTATCAGGGTGTCATTTACTTTAGTGTGTTCTGATTTTGCATTTTGGCCTTTTTTAATTAAATGTTGAGTTGTTTGATCTCATTTGCTCCGTTACATCTCAGTTGAATCTTCTTTCATAACAATTTACCGTTTCTGCTGGTTCCTCGCTGCAGTCTTCTTCCCTCTGTTGACCCGTCAAACAGGATGTAGCTCCAGAGCCATTGACTAGATCTGATGCTCTCATTATGAGCAAGGGGACTTTAAAAAAAAAGAGAATAATGACAATAAAGTTAGAAAAATCATTATAGCAGAGGGTAAACTACGTGCAGTTGATGTACATCAACATATCACGAATCATACACGGATGGCAGGATTTCAAACATCACCTTTGTTGTGCTTGTTTTCGTTGAACATGGGTATAGAGCTGTGGGAATGTCCTGTGCTGCCTGTTTGAGACACACCGGGAGCCTGAAAAACCACAGCTTCATGAATGCCACAGGAACGTTATATATGACGTTATTTATGTTTTATTTTTCTGCAGCATTTATTTTTAATACATTTAAGAAAATCTGCGGTTTCTCTGCTTCACTGAGTGCAAATTTCTGTTTTGTTTCATGGCACCTTGGTGGAAAGTGATGCCTTTGTCTAATTTCTAATAAATCTTCTAAAATGTGCTGCTTCAGGTTTCTGTCTGCATGACTGTGTGACTTACTCTCATTTTTAAAGATAGAATTCTTAAACTAAGCTTTCTGAAATGTTTTGGTTAATTGTCACTTTTTACATTTTTTTGACTAATTGTTATAGAACATAATATCTAGAAAGGTTTTGAACTTGAGTTCTAAAAACTTGCCTTTGAAGTCCAGATAATTTATTTTTTAATTGTATTATACCTGGTTTAATTGTCGCAGGCCAGAACCATCTGACTTTGTTCCGGGGCAGAACCGTTTCCTCTGAGCTGCCCCCCACTCAAGCAGAGACCTGCAGGGCTTTCTGGTCATCAGGGACAAATCAAATGAAGCATCAGGTCTCTTCTGGAGAAACTGCGAACGGTCAAGCTCTGGCCATCCATTATTGTCATGACTTGGCAGATTAGAGAGATTCGGATCGCCTTTGTCTTGGGTTACTTCTTTTTGTCCAGGATCCTTCAGTGTGTTGGTTTTTGTTTCCTCCTGAATGTTTTCAGTTGAAACATCTGGTAGAAGCATAGCCTCCATGGGTACATCCTTTAAACAGGATGTTGACGAAGGTATATGTACAGTTTCACATGTGTTTACATTTGGCTGAATCCGCTTCCTCTTTTGTGCATCATCTTCATCATTAGCCACAGCAGACGTCAGCCGCACACTCTCTTTCGCTGAAATTTCCGGTGGTAACTCAGACTCAGTATTTTCATCTGTTTGGATCATATCGCCGTTGACTTGTGGAGGATTACATCTTCCAGTTTCATTTTGGTTTGTTTGGCACACCTGAACATTGATTTCTTGCTTTAACTCTCCAGCAGAATTAATCTGGGAGGCGCATTGAGCAGGAAAAGCATCCGATGTTTCCCTGGATGGGTTCTCATCTCCTGGAATCTGACAAAGTGTTGTCGACTGAGCTTCAGGACATGAAGTCTCATTCATTGTGGTTAAGATACGTTGCTCATCTTCAGCACTGATGCTGTGTTGATCTGAATTCACTTTGTGCTCATTTGTGCTGACAGTAAATTCACCGTTCACATTTCCGTCCTTCTCAGTGGTTTTTAGAGAAACACGGTCTGTGGCGTTAACGGGTTCACAGACAGTTGACGGCCGTTCAGTATCCATGAAGTCATTGACCTGCCCGCTGAGGCTCGCTTCAGTCATATCAGCAGTCGTGAGAGCTGGTATCTGTGTTTCTGGACTTTTTGATGCATGCTTTGCTGACTCTCCTCTCTCTTTCACGCTATCTGTTACTTCTCCCTCACCTCTGGCTCCTGTTTTTGTTTCTGGGTTACTGGTCCTCTCTGTCGCCTTTGCTGACCCCTCAGAATCCCTGTGCATGTCTGCTGTACTATCTGCCATTTGAACTGGGGTTGTTCTTTTTTCTGCAGCATTTCTTTCACTTTTCAGATTTTCTTGAAATACTTTTTCCTCCTTCTCTAAATTGTTGGTTTCCTTTTTGCTATCCTCCCCTCTCTCATGCTTTTTATTATTTCCTGTTTTGTTCTCTTCATATGTTTCATATTCAAATAATTCTGGAGATCCATTCAGTGAAGTGCACCCAGGGTTTGGTGTACTGACACAGGTAGATTTACTCAGGAAACTCTGATCAGATCCAATTAAGTCACTTGTACTAGCAGTTCCTGTGTTCTTTTCAGAGTTATGAGGGATGCTGCTTGTGAAATATGATAACCGTTTAATCATTTCTTTCTGATGATTCACCTCGTCTTGACCTAGGGAGGAAAGGTATAGATGTTGACAAAATATGCTGTTTTAACTGCATTGTACTCAAAAACTCCACATCGTTTCATCATGAGCCGATGGCATTTTTGGCCTAAAGATAAATAAATTTAAGGTTCTCAAAATGGAACCAAAAACTATCCTTATCTCCTGTTTATATTCAGAAGGCTGACCTCCATTTGCTCCAGTAGCAGCAAGCTTTGAAGCTGATCCTGTGTCCTTCAGACAATCCTGGATTTTGGCCTGAGAGGAAGCAGCACACTGCAGACTGTCGAGGTCAGGCAGCTGAGAGCTGGAATCTAGATCCTTAGCAGTTTCCTCAGCTCTGAATCTTTCCAAGACTGAGCTGAAAGGACTGAGCTGGGCCACAACAAGAGGACTCTGACTATTGTCTTTTATCTATGAAAGAAAATAGTCACTTAAATACAATGAAATGATGGAATTAACTGTTCAAACCTTCAAAACTAACAGGATTTCATGCATTTTTGTTCAGTTCTAACCCAAAACTGATCTAAAGTTATTAGAGTTTATTTTTGACAGTTTAATCCTAGAACGGTCAACTTTTAATAGGAATATTGAGAACCTTAAGTTGACCATGCAAGTCAAATGTATTGTAGTGCATTAGATTAACCTCAAATACAGAGTCTATTTTATATAGTTAGAAAAACATAAAAATTGATAAGCATTCAATTTGTTTTTTAAATAAAAATATTTCTTATTTTTGCCTAAATTGGAGTACCATATTACTTAGAATTTGAAATGCAGGTGAAGCTAAAACTACCTGAGGAGTTCTGGTTGAGACACATTTACAAAGAAGTGTTTTTTTTGTTTTTTTTTAACTGCATTATACGCTTGTCCAATTTTGGCTTAATTACTACTGAAAATGTTTTTCAGCAATTACTCTTTTTTTGAGTGCGTAAACTCCAGCTAACAAATGATCACTTACAAAACTATTTGATGATTTCAATAATTAATTCATCATGCTTACTTATTTCAGCCTCATACGTAAGTAAAGCGCATTTATTACCTGTGGTTTCCCGCCTTGCTGTGCTTGTGAACTGGCCTGCAAGATCAGGTCAGCGCATTTCAGCTGAAGGCCTTCATAAGCGTCTTTCAAGGCTTGAAAGTCTGACTGTTCATTCTTAATTTGAGTCAGCAATGTTTTTCTCTGTGTGATCACAAGATTGAAAAGTTCTTCCTCTGATAAAAGTCTTTACATCACCTTCACTAAAGTATAGTCTCTGTTTTTTACCTCTTTGTCCCAGTTCATCTTGGAATCAGCGTAGCTCTTTGTCAGTTCAGCCACTTTGTCTTCGATTGTCTTTCTATTCTCTCGCATCACTTCGCGTTCTTGCTTAAGGGCCTGCCGTAAAATTAATTGCCCATAAGATTTCAATGCAATACTAAATTTTTATGAGTTTATTTAATGCGAACAGAAGGTTTTAAACAGGGCCAAGAGAGAGAGAAAGAAAAAGATAGCACAGCTTGCTAATACAAATCAGGTTTCTTGTGTCATTTTAATAATGATTTTAATAAATTAATGAGTGAGAGAATTAAAATGGAGGGAGGTTGGGTGGCACAGACCAAAGGAAAGAGAACAATAAACTGCAGAGCCATAAATGGAGAAAAACATACTATCATTCAGCTGTGGGGGGATTTTATTCACAAATGTACACGTTGTGAAATACTGCACCATATTCAGCAAATTTATGAGATGGAACAGAGACTGGCATTTACTCATGTCTTTGTACAAGTGTTTTCATAGTAATTTAAACAGATCTTGAAGAATGTTTTCCTTGTGCAGCACTTAAGATGCAAGGTTTCCAAGAAGGAATGAATTTGTTTCAGTCAAAAATAAAAACATACACCTCCATGGTTCTTATGCATTGCAAAGAAATAACGAACAAATAGAAGTACATTTTATATCTGTGCTGATAATTCGTAAATGTATTTTCTATGGTCAAGAAATGCTTGTAACAAGATGATAAATCCTGAATTGTACTAATAATTTAACTAGTTGTCACTCATTCTGGAAAGTTAGATTTTTGTTTTTGATCAATACAAATGTACATCCTCTTTTGTAATATCAGCAAATTGCAACAAAGTTCATTCTCTTCTATTTTTACATTATTCAGAAACTACACTGTTTATTGATTAGTTAGGCTCTGTTATATACATTTTAGACAATCTTGAAAATAATTAGACACAGAGCACAAAACAATTTTAACTATCAGAAAGTAGATTGTAATTTGGCACTAATGCAGCAGATCAATGATGGAAATAGAAACTTTTCCATTTGCAAGGAACTGGCACATCTGAAAGGACACTAAAGGGCAAAGTGGTAGGACAATGAGTAATGTGTGTGACAAGTATTTGCTGATGCATCCAACTGTTCAAAAAATTAGTGAATAAAAGTCACAAGGTGAATCTGTAATTGCCAAGAATTTTTTAGAGCTCTCATGTTTTCAGCGTGGGGGAAACTTGTGTGACTAAATGTTAAAGTTCTCAAACAAAAATCAGAAAAACTGAAAAAGTCCGACCTTGAACATCTCTGTTTGACTTTCCATCTCCTGTTCGATTCTCCTTATGGTCTGTGTCTGACTCAACAACAGCTGCTGGTTGTGCTGCAAGGACCCCATCAACTTCTAAACACAGATCCACAGAACGAAATAAGAACATCTTTGGAACAGTCATTCTTTTCTTTGAAAGCTTTTACCACCAAACCAAAGAACTTGTGACTGAAGATGAACTATAAAATGTTCCGTTTTGTGTTTCATCCTAAGTACAAACATCCTTTAAGCTATTCAGGCTCACCTGGTCATATATGTCTATTTTTTTCCTTTTTAGCATTCTTTATATGTTAAGAGAAGTCTAAGAGGTCTGCATAAGTAGCAATCTAGTTCTTCAACATTGAAAACCATTTCTTTTTCTTCTCCTACATGGCCAATTTTTAAGCTGTTTTCAGCATTGCTCGACTGTGCAGCTTAATGAAATTCCACTCAAGCTTTGCCCTGAATGGTACAAAGAATTTATATTAATAAAATCAAGTCCACGTGATAAAGCAGGAAATTTCAGATTTATACTATTTTATAGAAAATGTGATTCTGTGTATTTTTTCATAAAATTTTCAGAACATTTTGCAATTATTCTACACAAAAAAGAAAATGTTTGTCATGTTTCTTCCTTACCTGCTTTTCTGCTCGTTCAGCAAAATTCTCCTCCCTGAGTTTTCTGTTCATTTCAGACTCCTAAAAAAACATAACATAAATTTTCCAAGGGACCAAATACACTGTTTTGGGATTTATTTAAGACTCCTGTTTTACTGATGCCCATGTTACCATGTGGAGTTTTTGTTGCAGCTCCTGTATGTGCTGTTCCCTCCCTAAAGGACTCTGGATCTTCTCATGTCTGACTGTGTTCATCTTTTCTTTTATGAGCTTGTTGGTGACTTCCTCCAACTCCTGCGAAAGAATCAGACAAAATGCAAAAACATCCTGACTTGTTAAAAAGTCAACATTTCAAAGTAATCAGGTTGGCATCTTTAGGAAAACAACTTTTTTACCATTATTCTTGTTTTAAGAATATTATCCACTGTGGTTAAAGTTATTATAAAACTAATATGTAGTGAGACTATGACAAAAACTGAACTGGATTATGTGTAATTGGCTCTAAATCTGATTGTATATCAGATTGGATTTTCCTGGGTTGATTTGATTGAATCTGAATGACAATTGTGAACTGATATTACATAAATAAATTGAACTGATTTAAAGAATAAAATACAGTTGGGTTATAAAAATAAAATGACCTTCAAGTGTAAAATGGATTGAATTTATGTAGCACTTTCCCAGTCATTTTGACCACCCAAACCATTTTACACTACAGCCACATGCACCCATTCACTCACACATTTATGTGCGCCTATTAATATGCAGATTGATAGGCAACTTGAAAAGTTTTCAGGGGAAAATCGGCAGGTGACAGGAGGAATCTGGAATGAAATCTACAACCCTCCGATTGATGACAATTCTCCCCATTGAGTCAGTCAAATGAAATTTGTCTTGTCTTCATACCTTCTTAAGTGAATCAATGATTCCTTCTTGTCTTTCTCTGGCTGAAGTCAACTTGTTATTTAGCTTCATGGCCTCATCAACTTTAGGAAAAATACAAATTAGATTGCCATCAAACATGACTGCATGACATAAGTATGAAGTCTGACAACACTGAAGTAGGACAAGTTGAAGAGACAATAAAGGTTATCATTCAGTCAAGGAGATTGTAAAAGCACTTAATCTTTTTCCAGATCCTAAACTGCCTTGTGGGCTTATGTGTATTACAGCCAGAAAAAGAAGAAAAAGATCTAATATCATAGGACATAGCTTGTCCAAACCGACTAACACAAAGATATACCATGAAAGTATGAGCAGAGTAGGATTTTTAAAAGGGTAGGGAAATTATGCGACAGATCGGTCTTATCTGGTGTCAGCAGAGTGGGAATTCTTTCTTGGCTTACATGTGTTAAACATTGCTGCCAAAAAGAGAACATTTTTCATTTTTCACAGGTTATCAAAATAACCCCAAAGGGGCATTTAGACAAACTTGACAATGACCTCTGCTTGTAACTTAAATTGTAAAATAATGACGTAGATTTAGTACAAAAGATTGAGAGTCAGAAAACTTGTACGTGAATCAATGTGCTGTTGCAATACCACATGAGCCAAACAAAACTCCATCTTCAGTTTGAACATCATTTTCAGCAATTTGTCAAACAGTAGAAAGAAGTAACGGCAACACAGAGACAAGTTCAAGCGTTGAACTTGATCTGATTGTTCAGAGCTAACTTAGCCTGCATTTTACAACCTAATTTTTTTAGCATGTTTAATACACATCCCCTGTGTGTTAATCACAAAAATGTTTTCATTTTTAAAAAAATGTTTATTTCCATATTTATTGTCCTCGAGGGCCTGTGTGCTGCGATTCTTAGACGTCTCCCTGGTCCAACACATTTCAATTAAAGTACCTAAATGACCTCAGATGTGCAGTCAAGTTCTCCAGAGGGCTACTACAAAAGTATTTGACTCAGGTATGTTGAAGCAAAGACACGTCCAACAGTTGCACGACATTGGCCCGAGAAAACTGTGATTGTCCTTCCCTGGAGCTTTTCTAAATCCAGGAAATTCAAAAATAGAACATTTTACTTTTCTACTTTATAAAGAAACGTAAAATTTGTTCAGCATGAATTACAGTTTCAGAAGTTTGAAGAACAAACATATTTATATATTATAATATATAAAAATTATATTGTTGAGTTATCAACAATGTAATTTACAGATGTCAGTTCAATAAAAATATCAATGCTCTTTTGCATTTATTTTTTTATCTAGTCATATATTACCATTCTGCTCCAGTTTGTCATGAGCCTGCTTGACTATAGCGCACTGTCTGGAAAGAGCACTGAATCTTTTCTCCACCTCTGCCAGCTGCTTCAGGTGGCTATCCTTTGTGCGACTCTGCAGGGCTAGCTTCTGTTCCTGTGGAGGACCCGCAGGTAAAATTAACCAGAGAGGGGAAATTCCAGTTAAATGTCTGTCTTCATTGTTGCTTTAAAAGAGCCGGAGTCGAGGTCAAAAGGTGAAAATCGGTTCACACAATTCAGCAAACAAATCAACTATGCACCCACATCGAAGCATGCTAAAGATCTGAACAATGCTGTGGCATGCTTCACTGCCAAAGACATGATTTCATTAAACCTGTGATCCTGAATCTGATGATGGCAGCAGTTCCACTTTACTAAATGCCATCAAGAAAATTCTTCCCAAATAGCAAAATCCCCAAGATGTACTCAGAGGTCAAAGCTCGTGTGCAGAAGCAAGGGACAAAAGGGAGTGTAGTTTTCCGCAACAGCTGATTTGTGGACTAGCAGTGGTGGAGGTGGAGAACCATCCATTAGTCTCACAGTACGTTTCCTCTCTCTGGAGAGGGAACTGAAGTCCTTCACTTATGTATCTGCTCTGTCTCCTCAAACCCTCAGTCGGTTGTGGCAGATGGCTGCTTGTACTTTATGGCTGTTAAAGGGGAGTTTTTTCTCCTCACTGTGTCTACATGCTTGCTCTGTCTGAGAAGTTGCTGTAAAGTCATGCTGACTTTACAGCAAAAAGAAAGACGTTGTTCAGGAGAGTGAATGCTGCAAGTCAAGGGTGCAGCCAGTCGGGCTTTGTTAAGACAGAAATTTCTAAAACTACTTTAATAAATTAACTGGGATTACTGCTCTGCTTGATAACTAGGATCAACCTGAATTGAAATTATATTTTTGAAAATTTCCTCAAGATGACATTTGTTGTGGAATGGCAATAAATAAATAAACAAATGAATTTAATTAATTTTATGATCATTTCTGTTTTTTGTCAGTTTCTATTATTACCTTCTTCTAAGCTGTGTCAAAAGTCCTCAGCTATAAAGCGCAAATGTCTGAAAAAAGTATTTTCAAAGGCAGGCACAAAGAAATTTGGAAAACTTGTCCTGAATCCTATCAGATACAGATACACAGATTACAACAGAAGAAGAAGCAGTCAAATATTTAAGATGATCCCTGTTTAATGGAGCTAGTGGCAAAGTGTTTCAGAAGCATAAAAGAATCAACTCCGCTCATGCTTCACAGCACTTTATTGCTCTTCAAACTGCTGCTATAGTTTGATTGTCTGTATCAAGCTGATTTTTTTCCCCCACCTTCCTCATTTTACCTCCCTTCACTTTCATCCCGCTCTCTAACTCTCCAATCAACCAGCTCTCCTGAACTCCCTCTGAATCTGCTGCCAAGAAGGTTAAACTAAGCGAAGACCGGTTATAAAATATTTTAATAGAGATATTTTCTCTGCTGTGGTGGCAGTTCAAAGAGTCACACACTCCCTGTCTGTTTCTCGTGATGAGCCCTTCCCTCTCAACCAGTTCCTCCTTAGCACCAGTCCCTCATCTTCCTCGTTTAATTCTCCTCCCTCCCAAGAATCACCTGTCAACAGATTGTATAAATGGAGGATCCCTCCTTACCAGCTCACTCGATTTCTTCTCCAAGTTGTATTTCAGCAACTGTGTAAAAAAAAGAAGGTGAATTAAATGACACTTTCTTTCTTCTTTTAAACCAGAAAGTAAGGATGATAAAATTTTACAGAATCATTTTTCAGAGTTACACAGGGTAAAAAGAAACTACTTAAATTGCTTTTAGTGAAAAATATTCTCCAGTGTCTAATAAAGTTCAATTAAGTCTTAGGCTTATTTATTTCCAAAAGACAAAACAAATACTCAAAAAATACAGTAATTTTAATTTGGAGGTTTTAAGTAAGACAGGAACATATGAGACAAGAAACAAATCCCTGGGCCTCAGAAATTGTTAATATCCAGTTTCATCCTTCCTCACAGTTTAGTTAAGGCATTAAAACTACTTGAAGAATTTCAGAAAACCTCAGAAACGGAGTTTGAACATTGCTTATTTTTTCCAATCCAAGCTCATGTGAAAGTACGAAACGAGTTGAGAGTTACAGGAGGCATGGTGGATTAATGCATCGCAGTCACACACTGATTCACAGGAACTTTAAATGACCACCTGGTGAATTTCTATAGAATTAAGATTTCAGATTGTATCTTTATATTGATGCTGGGCTGCAGGCAAGATTCCTCCTAACTGGAGATTTTATTTTTACTGATGTTTTTACCCCAGTGAAAGTACTGCTGACTCAGTGCTCTTGTCTCCATTTTTTAAATGTTTACATTTTGAAACCCTTTTAATCTGCACCAGTATCGGTTTCAAATTGGTTAAAAAATTTACAACAAATAAAATAAAAACAATGTTAATTCCGATTAAACCGAAACATTCACACAAGGTAAAGTTGCATCATGTTTAAAGTACCTTCGTTCCTGATTATTACTCATGTGAAAATGTTTTAAATTAAAGAAATTTATCACACCAAGGCACACTAATGAACTTCATTTAAACCAAACACCACCTACATTGTCTCCCAGATGGAATATCAAAAACGGACTCTATTGTCTCTGTAACAAAGCTGGGTTGTTAAAGTGCAGCCGGCCATGTGGACAGCCGTATATCACCTCTGTGTTGTCAAGCCTGCAGACAAACTGCCCTCAAGTCAGACCTTTGTCCTTTACTCTGATCAAGCATGCCTTTTGTTATCTACTTGTCCTGTTGAGTGCCTTAATATGAAAATGTTTTATTCATTTATAAATAAAGTGGGAAAAGAAAAAAATAAAGGCTTTTGCTTCTAGAAGGAAAAAAGAGAAAAAGAAGAGTGAATGGTGAACTTCTCAATACCTGCAATGACTTCAGCTCTTCCTTTAAATTGTTAATCTCCTTGTCCTTTAACTCTGCACTGACCTGGTATTTCCCCTGAAATGTGATATTATTATTGTGAGTGTCAAAAACAGCAATAAATACCAAAGTACGGCATGGAAGAATCCCCTCCAAGGGCTAAGACTGTGTGCCTGACACAAGTGAATTTACTACTCCACTTTAGCATCAACTGAATGAAATGCACTTTTCTCCCAAAATGTTTCAGAGAAAAAATAAGCTTGTCGTACCTTCTCCTCCTCAGTGTGTAGTAATTTGACTTGAAACTAGAAGGGGGGAGATAAATTATATTTAGGATTTATGAATTAATACTGTGATTAAAAAGCTTTGTTCGGATTTTAAAGTAAAACACACCCTTTTTTTCACGGAGTCGAGTGAGTCAGTGTGCTGCTTTGACATGTTTTCTATTTTATGTTGAAGGGATTCCTGTTGCATAAAGAAAAAAAAAGACTGAAGTTTTATTATTATTATTCATGGATCACTACATATCATTCAAGACGTACAACTGAGTTGTTCTAAAAGACAACTGCAAAGAGGTTTGTTACTGTAAGCTGTACCTTTTCCCACTCCAGCTCCTGTTTCTCCAGCACAAGCTTACTGATTTCATCCTCAAAGCGCGTCTCTGCATCCTAAAACATGAGAAATGATCATCTCACTAAAACTGACACCAAGAAAATTGTTTTAGTAAAACAAATGTCCTAGGCTCAAAATACTTTCTCCACAGAAAAAGAAAGAAGAAGAGGAAACTTCATTATATCTCTGATGTCACGTTACTTACCAACCTCTGACTAATTGGTTAGTTTCTCCAATCTAACAACTGATTATACTTTGAATGTGACAAGAAATAGTGGCCAAAATTCCTAAGTAAAGTCCAAATGTAATCTCAGACAGACTGAACATTTTGTCACTTAAAAGACTGAAAGGTTAGCTTTAAGTCAGTGGTATCTAAACCTTTTCTTTTCTGGGGCCAAAACTGGCAAATCAAAACTATTCACGGGCCACAAAATTCATTCAATTTAAAGTACCGATGCTTTAATAAAGACAATGAGACTGACATTCATGGTCTTTATTTAGGCTGAATTTCGACAACACATATACGTTAAACAAAGTCCAGCTAAAAATGCTGCTGTAATCATATTATTCAGCAATAGCATCACATCTTTTCCTCATATTGTACAGCGCTAAAGTGGGAAACGGGTGTTTTTATATTTGCTGTTTTGGTGCTGCTGATATTCCAGCACAAGAAACATCCGATACAGAGCCTGTGAACATGACATGCACTCATCACTAGCATCCACACATCAATTGTCTGTGCAGTTTGCAGCAGTCATTCCTACTATGAACACTGAGCATTTCAAAGAACCACATTAGACAAATAACCAAGCAGACCTAAGAACAATTTAGAGAAACCAATTAACCTAACTGTCATGTTTTTGAACGGCTGGAAGAAGCAGGAGTACCTGGAGAGAATAGAAGAACATGCAAACTCCATGCAGAAAGACCCCAGGCCAGGATTTGACACTAACAGCACCATCATGCAGCACTCAAAGGCCAAAGTCTTGACTTAATATTAGGCTTTAAACAAGCAAGGCTTGAATGTGTAAATTTGAATTTTTTGTTTCTTTTTATTCAGCCACGCATAAAAAACCCACTGACTGTTTTCCCTCAACTATTAAAGGTAGGATATTATGATATTCATGCCCCAAGAAATTGTATGCAAACTTACACTGGCTCTGTAGAAAAGAGCATCTCAAATGGAAACACTTTCTAAACTAGATCACTGGTTAGTAAATTTAAATGGGGATTAACAATCTGTGACTGCAGTCCAAGAAAACAAAGTGTAAAATAAATAAACGTGTTCTCTCCCATTCTTTGGGTTAATAACTCTGGAGTTGAGCCACAACTGCAAAGAGCTTTAAGTTTCTCTGGTTCAGTCCACCGTATCTTTTTGTAGAAGCACCCTGTGAGAGAGGAGCATTAAAAGGGAGGTTATATTTGTGGAACGCCATCCCTATCCTCCCTCTTCCTTTGGAGAAGGCAGGTAAAAGTCAACAGCTCTCTCTGGATATGCAGTACTTTTTATGAGCATGTGGGAGCCGGTTGGCTCTGTGAATTTATTTTATAAGTTCCTATTAAAGCATGCTACCAGCGTGGCACTGCATTAAAAAAACAATAAGAAAGTATAGAATATAAAGCTGATATTTTGGGGGGCCTGGGGAATAATTACAGTGAGAGGGTGTTGAAAAAAAATAAAGACTGTAAAAACAAACTGAAAGGTTTTATTAAGCTTTGGAATCCTCATGAATCAAATTCTGATCTTTAAATATTTTTATTTTCCCAAATTATACAATTTATTTAAAGAGGAAATCTCAAGAGCAGTTGACACAAACTGTACAAAAGTTAACACCAATGTCCATCTACATCATGATCTGCATTATAAATCTTTTTTTGTTATTTAATTGCTGTTATGAATGATTGGTTTTTAGTAGGCAATAAAACTGCCAAAGCTATTGCATAAATTTGCATGGGAGTTTAAAAATGTGATACATTTAAAGTTTAGTTGAAAGTAATTTATCCTTAAATTCCCCAGGATCACAGCATGGTTTTCATTTTAATCCAAATTTTGTAAAAAAAAAAAAATAAATAAATAAAAAAAATAGAAACAAATTAATACTGTCACAAATTACCACCATTCAATTCGCTCACTGCTTCAATTTGAAGCAGTGAGCGACCAGCGTGTTGCACTCAGAAACTCCCTGGAATTTGACCTGCTCAGGAATGTCCAGCAGTGTTGTGTCACCCTCTTGATTCCTAACCCCTCCACTCTGAACAGCACCACTGCAAAGTGTTATTTTGCCTGAGGATGATAAGATGCCATAATGTTTTTGTCAGAGTCAACAGGACAATAACAATAAAATCCAAATGGCAACAAATGACCAACATCCCATTTTTGCTCCTTTAAGCTTTAAGCACTCTCATGTTGAAAGTGCTTGCCAAAGGGGCAGCGGGAAGATTTATTTATGCTTCAAACAAGCAAAGTCACTCTATACTTAGTTGTCAAGGGCTAAATGGCTTGTTTGACCCCAATCCTGTTTTTAAATGTATGTAACCCAGCTGGGCTCGTCTTTGATAGCCGGAAGCACTTGGTTGAGCAATAATATGAAACCAGTTTCCTCAATATCTTAATGAAATCTCACAGCAATGATCAGTAAACACCACACCATAGGCGTCACACTATCATTCATCAATAGGAATTTTAACTGTACAATTAAAAGAATCCATGCAAAGAGGAGTGTCCTTGGTTTATTGCAATTACATAAGACGTCTATCTTTATCCATTAGGCTTGTCGCAGATTGTTTTGTAGTGAAAAGTAGTTGACCAAAGGGGTTTAAAGCTTTTCTCCTAGTAGGTCAGTAAAGGGTTCAGTGACTACATTACCCTTCGAATATGCAGCTCTTCGACGATGTCCTGGAGGTCAGTTTTAAACTCCAACAGCTGGAGTAAAATTGGCGCTCCGCCTTCCGTTTGACTGTGAGAGCTGGACAGAAAAAGCTTCTCTTCCAAAGCAGGGTCTTCAACCTGCATCAGAAAAACAAATACACTGTTATGGTCAGAAATACTCGCTAAATGGTGAATAGTTTTCCTGCTTTTTAAAGCTCATCCCTACAGAGGAGCAAAAATATTGCCGATCAAGTGTATTGTAGCACACTGAAAGTTAGATGGAAGGAAAACCTTGACAAGCAACATGGATAATCACATTGTTGGGACTATTGTAAAAATAGAGGGCTATTCATAGAGTGTTGACATGAGATGGAGAGAATTCTTGAAAAGCAAGAACAAAGATATATTTAGGATATATGCAACAATATCCTGAATATACTCCTGGTACTGGGCTAAGGAGCAAAAGAATTGGATTGATGCTCAGTGGTTCATAGTACTACAGTGAAGCTTTTCATTTGGAAAGCAAGTTCTTGGACTATGGATGAAGAGTGAGTAGCCTCAAAACCCAAGTCGCTTCAGGTTCTGGTCATTTCATATGCTCATGACAGATGACATGGGGACAATGTGCTGCAAAGACGTTTTTTTACAGTCAGTCAACTTAAATGAGTGTCAAGTTCAGTGAAGTTGGAGGTTACCCAACCTCCTATTCACTTGACTGGCAGTCAAAGTGACTGACTGACAATACATTGACTGACTGACTTTATCGTCTGTTCCAAAGGTGACAAGGTTTAACCGGTCTCCATATTAAAAATACATACATTCAAGATAAGAAAAAAACCCACAATAAGTGACAATATAATTCACATTCATACAAGGAAAACAACTAAATTAAAAATACAGTTCTATAAAGGTAATGTGGAGGCCTTGTTTGGTAAAGTTATTGCAGAAAGAACAAATGATATAACACCTTATTCTTCCCTTGACCTACAAGCTTTATGGGAGGGGTCCTCTAATCCAGGTCTTGAGGGCCAGTTTCCCTCAGGACTGGCCCTCTTGAGGGAACTCTTAGATGTCCAACACACCTGAATCAAATGGCTGAATTAGCTCCTCAGTATGCAGTCGAGTTCCCCAGACTTCTACTGATGATCTCATTATTTTATTTAGGTGTGTTGAAGCAGAGGCACATATAAAAGCTGCATGGATTTGAATATGATTGCTTAAGGAAAACCATCATAAAGACTTGAAAATTCTGCAAAGAAATGTAAATAGAAACAGATTCCAGAGAATAAACATCATAAAATAATTGTAGCAGTGATTACAATAACTGGCATTTTTTCTTATCTTTTTCTGAATTGGAAAACAATGATGATAATTACGATATTTATCTTGAAAAGAGGTAACTTACAGCAGAAAAGGAGAGGGCTGTCTCAGACTCTGCTTTAGAATCCATTGAGAGTTGCTTCAGGGCAGGGAAATATCCCTCTGGGTCACTTTCTGCCTGTTAGCTGAGATTAAAAAACATTTTGTTGAAAAAGGTTAATAGAATGGGCATATTAATAAGCACTAGCACTCTCCTTTTTTTACTCAGTAGTTTATAATTACTCCCTGATCTGTAATTTTTACTGCTAAATGATTTTTGTGGGAATAATAGCGTGAAACATTATTGCCTCATGATGCTCATTGGTCACAATAATCTAACGTAATGTCTTTGAAATTACCATTAAAGGCTTCTTTCTTTGTTTTACACCACTTCCACTCCAGTGAGGAAATAACAACCTGATTTGCCATCTAGGTTAAAGTGAACCTGCCCATTGACACTAATAGGGGTCAGAGTAATAACACTGGATCGACAAATTGCACTGTCAATGCTTTTTAAATTATCTGGGTTATTTAAAACAACCTGTGCATGGTCCTCTTCCATCACCTGCGAATTCACAAAGCAATGAGTGACACAAACAAACACTCTTTATACACACAGACACACACCAAGTAGAAAATAATAATATTTAAGTGGGAGGTCTCCACTAACCACTGGTTTCTTAATAGAACAGACCCTTTTCCCTCACATTTAACCTTTGCCAGTATCAATCATGCTGCAGAATTAAATGATCCCTGATAGAACTGGATACTATCATAAAAAGACACTGTGACCCTAGGCTAAGGAGTGACTTTGAAAGGGTTGGTGTGAAATGTTTCTGATGTGCACGGCGTGCACATGAATGAGTTTGCTAGCGCGACCCCTCGAGTAAGAAACAATGTCTTTATTTGCTTTTCTGTGATTCACTTGAGCAGGTATTAACCAATTTCTACCAAGACACAAAGACATATCAAAGGAAGTTCCAGACATTAAACTGGAACATTTCTACAAAGAAACATAATGTTTAAAACAAAACCTTGAAGTGACTTTTGCTTCCAACTCCTCTGTGCTCCAGCAAGATAAAGAAAAGACTTTTTGATACAATAATACATAAAATCAGACCACAAAGAACAATAATAACAGTAATCCAATAATGCAACACTGTACAACCGAGTTGTCTTTCCTCAAATAATAATAAAATGGATAACAGTACAATACTATTTTTTTAAACAATATTTGGTGTGAAGGTTTAGATCAGGGGTCCTCAAACCCAGGCCTCCTGGGCTGGTGTCCTCCAACTTTCTGATGTGTCCCTGGTCCAACACATCTGGATGATTATCACTGACACCCACACTCCAGTCTGGAAGGCGGCAGTAAATGCTCTTCAAGCTGGTTTGCAAACCTCCAATAAAACACGTAAAAAAGAAGATCACCTGGACCAAATGACTAAATTGTCACCTCCGAAGTCAAGATCTCCAGAGTTCTGTTCTGGTAATGACCTGATTATTTAACTCAGGTAGGGAGAGGCAGAGGCAAAAATAATCTTCCTCCCGGTCAAAATACTGTTACTTGAGTCATATAGCTCTGACGTATTGAAATTATGGCTAATCTTCTCTTAATAGAAGCAGCGAGTCAGAGTCACCCATCCTGTTGATAACGTCACGAACCAGAGTACATTAAATTTCGATGTTATTTTGGTCGAAAACAATTTCTGATATCACATTCATATACAGAAACATGATATACCGGAGGCTAAAATAGCTAAAACGACAACTAACAAGAACTAGTAACTAAAACGGAATTTTAGCTACTCACGGTGTTCTTCCAATTTGTTACCCATCAGCGGCATACCCTCGATTAATGCGCATGCGTACCGCTGCAATATTGCGCGTGGAGCCGTTTTAACGTTAAACGTAACCAACCATTTTGTAATAAATCTTAGACTTGAAAATTTGACATTTAATTTATTAGATTAGAAAGTTACATATTTAACACCTTGTGCGGCTTTATTTCCAGTCTTAAATATATTTTTATTTTCAAAATTTACTTTTAATCTGCGTCGTATTGCAATCTACGTGTGACATATTTTACCTTTAATATACGTTCTTGAGAAAAATCTTTCGGTTTTTTTTTATTTCCGTTCTATATCTTGCGAAGACACATCGAGAGAAATAGTAGTGTTTGGTGTGACATACACAACATTATTTAAAACATGATGTGACCGGTGGACTTCTGCGTTGTGTGTGTGGTGATCGGACAAACCACAAAGCATCAAGTCTGGGTTTGGAGGCAGTCTCCGTTTATTGATCTGTCAATCGGGAGATATTAGCATTAGCACATAGCATGTGCTCCAGTTCTCCAGCCCAATCTATACAACATAACAATGTTATAAATTCATAATAACTCAAATGAAAATATTCAAATACATATAATCAACACAGATGGAAAAATAAACATTTGAAGAATATGAATGAAAGGGTTCCAATGGACCACAAAACTTGCCTCTCCCCAGTGGAACGAATGACAAAAGGGAAGAGGAAATGAATAATTTAACATTTATAACAGTCCTGGAGGACCTTGAACAAGAGAAGAAGAAAGTAAGGCGGAGCTGGAGGACCAAACCCCCATAACAGAGACAGAAGAACACAAGAACAGCCAGATGCAAACTGACAAATACATTAAAGAAAACATTTTTGTGGAAATATATAACTATTAATATAGACCCAGTTACAATGACAGTAATTGTTTTTACAGCTTTACTTGTTCTGTTTGTGAAACATTGACAGGCAGTTTGCATAAAGTATAACAAAAATACAAATAGAAATATAGAGTAAATGCGACTTTTCCAAATACTTTTGCACAAATATTTTATTTTCCCCGAGCATCAATGTTTGCTTCTTTATTGTTCCCACGAAGTCCATCAGAGTTGACTAAGAACTCGAGACATCAGAAGAAAGTTTTCGAAAATGTATCAAACAAATCTCAAGAACAAGAACGAAGAGGTTCATCGAGGTAGTTCAAAGTTCAGCGTGAGCTTGATAACTGCTGCCACCAAGTGGCTAAATGTAAGATTGCACCTCAGCTACACCCTACATAAAGTTCATCTCCCCCTGTGTGTTTCCAATCATAACGTAAAAAGAACAAATTTAAGTATTTCATTGCATATTTTAACTTACAGTTGGAAAAACACAACATCATTGATGTTATTTCTTATTTCATCTGTTGTATTAAAATGAATAACAACATAAGCAGCCTTAGAACTGTTTTAAGCAAAAGAGTCTATTGCTATTAAGGCCTTAACCAGCCCTTTGGCTACAGAGCAGTCAGTTAAAGTCAAAAAGACAGAAATTGGGAAAAAAAACACTCTGCAAATGTTCAGCTCAAATGTATTTTCTCGGTCTTGCAGGCTGCTAAGCCCCTAGTAATGGCTGCAAATTCAGACTGATATTGTTTCGTCTGCATGCAGTGAAGAAGAAAGACCTTTACAAGTCATATTTGCACGGTTTTAATGACATATGTTTTCAATGGCATTTGAATTTGACTTAAAATAGAAAACTGTATTCACAATCAAGCTTTCCTGTGAAAGTGTTTCTTATTTTAAAGTGTTTCCTCCTCCTGTCACCAACAGAAAATTCATGGCCAAAGCATATGGGTAAAACACAAGGCAAACACCTACTATGATATTTTAGTTATCATCATAAGTGATGCATTTGCTCAATACACAAGGTTTTTGAGAACTGCACTAACTTCAAACAAGACGAGTTCTCAGAAATGCCTGTATGAAAAATGACACGTTGTGACGTTTTAGGGTTAATTCCGCTGATTTTCTGCTCCCCTCCTTTTTAGAGTTTAGTTCCGGAGGGCTCGGCTGTTGTGGCGCAGTTGCTCCGCCCATCACAGGAAGTGTCCGTGTTGTTAGCGGTTGCTGTTAGCTGATGGGGGAGAATAGAAGAAGAAGAAGAAGAAGAAAAAAAAGCCGAGCTGCGACGCGACTAAACCCGAGTTTCCCGTGTGGGAAACACAGCCTTGCTTTTGTCGGAGACCTTCCACGGCTGCGAGGAAGGCGTAAATAAATCCGAGGAAGCCATAGTAACGCTATGCGTGCGCTGTGAGGGAGAAGCTGTGTCATACAGGGCTTTGTTGTTGTTGTGGGCTTAAGAGTCGAGCTGCTAACTGAAGAAGTTGGGCTCTGCAGATAAGGCATCTCTTAACGCTGAGCTTTGAAGGTAAATGTCATAGATAAGACTGCAGAAACAGATTCTTAAAAAAAAACTTGCGTCATTCCCAGCTCTTTTAGCATCCCGATGACTCTTCCTGGTGCCATGTGAATTACGTCATCAAAACAAACCTTCACGTCTTCCTCGTTTTATATGGCGTTATCCTCAGAACTCAAAACAGACTCAGCTTCAGCTGTGAGCACCCATCAGGGTTTAAAAAAAAATACAAATGAAAAAAATCTCTGCAGCCTGACCCATCTGTGTGGCCTGTTTATCCTGCAGAATCCAGCATGCCAAACGAGTCAGACCGCGTGGAGCGCAAAGGAGACAAGGAGTTAAAGGATGCATCTGACGAGACTGCGGGGCAGCAGGTCAGGGCCAGCACGCCGAGCCCCCGCAGAGAGAACACTCCTCAAGGTGAAAAAAACATTATGTACAGTCATATTCAGTAAGTACTGTAATGGAATAGTTAATTTATTTCACTGTTTACTACCTGTGATATGTTAATTCATAGCCTTTATTTTCTTTTGCATCTGCTGTTAGTTTTTATTTTATCTTAATGGAATAGTTTTATCTTTTATACTCTTACTGTTTTGCCATTAGTACCGAAATAATTAAAATATGTATCAGAGTTTGTATACGTTCATATTTACTTTTATTTGTGTTCAAGTAGTTTTTCAAAGTTATTTATTGTCTATTGTCTTGGCTTTTTTTTTTAAATCTTCCTCTTATAAATTTAAGAAAAAAATATGTCAGTTGATACCTTTTACTAGTTTTTCAGGGATTCCTTGTTGATAAAGAAGAGAAAAATTTAAATTCCTTCATAACAATAGCTCCTATCTATTGTAGATCAACGGATTCAGATGTTTTTGGGGGATTTTAACCTGTTTATTAAAAATGTTTTTAAGATTTTTTATATGTATTTGTTTACATGTTGCTTTGGGTAATACACAGCTGGCTGTTTAACAGATTGCTCAATGCAAACATCGTAATGGATTAATGGTGAATGTGTTGTAGAAAAATATAGGCAAGAATAGATAATAGATTCACAATCTTCTCAGCATTGAGAAGATTGTGAAGCTATGCCTACTCGAGAGCTTGGGGGAGATTCTCAAGACAATTCAGTGCAGCTGTTGAACAACTCTTGAACCACAGACAATGCAAGAAGCATCTGATCTGGGAGAATGCAAAATGGACTCGACTGTTCCTCAGTCATTAATAGTCAAATGAAAGAATATTTCACATTTGATTTGGAAATTTAGGTCACACATTCTGGTGGATGAGTGAAGTAGTACAGAAAGTTGATTGAGGACTTTTGTGAAGTTTCAAAAGTTAGTGATGATCTGGTGAGTCTGGTAGTCTGCCACTGTGGGTTTATTGTGTTACTCTACGGTACTTTATGAGTTCTGCTACTGAAATGCATTTTGCAGATACTAATTTTATGTCTCATCATGATCTAGCACCTGTCCACGTTGCTGAAAGTACCAGTGCCTGCTTCACTGATGATTTCACTGAAGTTGTTCTGGCAACAAATTGATCTAAGCCCTACAGAAAATTTCAGTTTTTACATTGAAGTGTAAAAAGTGAATGAATGTGGACCTTCACTTTTTAGTGCTGGCATTATACTAATACTATAAAATCAAATAGTACTCAAATCAAAAGATTACACTTTGGAGTTTATGCAGATAACAGTTTATGCAAAAAAGTGGATGCATAAAACCTGATATTAACACTTTACATTTGTGTGGAAGTTAGATATGGTGCTATTTCTGCAGAGGAGTCTACATGCTTTTTTGGCCATCCACTTAACAATTCTACAATGTAATCAGTCTGTTTTCCTTTTCTTACAGCCAGCTCACCCAGGTTGGTTTCTGTTGAGGAGCTGATGGAGACAGCTAAGGGGGTAACAAACATGGCATTAGCTCATGAAATCATGGTCAACAAGGACTTTCAAGTCAAGCCCACAGAGCTTCCTGAAGGAAGGTATAGGTTAAAAGCTTGACAGTCTTATAGACGTTTACCTTTTATTTATAGTTATTTGCTGGTGCAGTATGAAAAAAGCTATTCTTTGTCCTGGCAAAGTTTGGAGCACAGAGTGAAGGAGATTATGCAGAAAGTCTTTTGGGATCGCTTGGAAGCTCAGCTGAACGAGGATCCACCATCATACGAACATGCCATTAAACTTCTGGGAGAGATTAAAGAGGTGAGAATTGATCAGATCAAGGACGCTTTATAAAGCTCTTAAACACTTGATTGTTTATTATCTGTGTTTGTTTATGATATGTTTTTATTTTTTACTATCAGTCTGTTTTCAAAGAGTGTAGTCAGTAACTGACCCATTTTGGAAAATGTTTTTCTAGTTTGTTGATCCAGCTTACTCAGGCCAGAACATATGTTCTACAAAGGTAGCAAATGCTGAAGTAAAAACTTTCAAATACTATGAAAGTATGAAAAAAAGTTTCCAAGGCTCCTTTTAAATGGCAACAAGCAAGGGCTACATTACCGCCTCATACAGCTGTTAACAAATACTAGGTTACTCATTGGCGCAAGTCTGGCTTCAAAAAGATAATTCTGGTACACTCTTCCAAGTTGCGCTTTTGAAAAAGGAATTGGACAATGAGATCAACAAAACTTGGTTTTGTTTGAGCGACAACTA